TCAGCAGTGTACTTTGTCCATCTGCCTGTTCTGCTCCCCACTCTGATTCTGGTGAATCCTCTCACCCTCCGCATCTCTGGCCTGTACCCGAGTTCTATATGAATAAATAAATCAATCTTAAAAAAAAAAAAAAAGGAACAGGGATATCCAGATAAGGGGAGCTCTTGGGTCAAGCTGTCCATTTGTGCCTAGGCAGTCTTTCTTATTATCATGGCTTACTGCAGTTTGAAGTTACCTTTCCAGCATGTAAGTGAGCCCCTTGGACCTCAGCATGGCCTTCATGTCATCTGAAGCTTTTGATAATGATTAGAAATGTTTCATCTAGCCTGGTGCTCCTGTTATATTTCGGGGATGGGTTCTGAAACAACGTGGTAAATAGAACAGTCACCCTGCACTGTCAGGTCCTTTGGCACCTCTTTCAGGGAATCAGGTAGCTAAGCTACATGTGACCAAGTAGTGTAGACAAGTATAAGTCTCTTAAGACTCTGGTCATATGTCTGAGTTAATAGTGAAAAAAGAAGGCATGATTTAAAGATCACCACTACTCCCAAAGCCGTTACTTTCATAGCACTCTGCCCAGTTACATATTTGTCACATAAACAAGAGGCTGTTGTTTGCAGTGTTTGCCCTCAAGTTGTTAGTCAGCTGCTGACCTCATAATCTGCACAGCTGCAGCATCCCAATATGTTGTCACGAAACAGATTGTGATGTCTTAATTGATCACTTTCAGAGGTTACAATTGTTAAGTGAAACCAGTATGCTGATTCTTATTAGTTAAATTAAGCCTTGTTATAGTAGAACTAGCTAATTCACTGTAGTGACTGAGAAATCCAAGGCAGATGACTGTTTTGTGCATTAGAACACATCTGAAGCGTTTTCTCTATCTTTCTTTTTTCTTCTTTTTTTTAAATTAGGTGGGCTATACAACATAAATGTTCTTATTATACAGTAAAGCCATTTCTTGGAATAGTAAATGGCATATAACCTCCCTGTAGCGTATGCATCTCAGTGGTAGGTTGGAATGTGCCATATGACACATACAATTTAATTCAGGCATTGATTTTCATGAGTTTGGATAAATGAGTGTGTAATGGACATCAGACCCTGTTTCAGATCACCCAGCATGTCCTAAAAAGATACTTCTTGGATGAGTGAGGAAAGGTCTTAGGTCAATGACTGATGCCAAGACACGTCCCTTGAATTTTAATTTGACCTTGGAAAACTCTATCCTGACCTGGTGCCCAGGCTATTTGCAGTTCACTATGGTTCTGAAATCTTACTTTAGCAGGTGTGATGGACAGAGCCTTTGAAGGTAGAATTTTAAGACACTTAAAACTAAAGTTTTGTTTCAATTCATTTTTTTCTTATTTCTTAATTCTGACATATCAAATCAATAGACACCTTTCTCCTGCTTTGCATATCTTCACAAGATTAAAATAAAAACTGAATCAAAGCAGTAAATTAACATAACTGCTAGCATTCAAAATACAATGGCTAGTATAAGGATGTTCATCATAGCAACTTTTTATAATAGAACAAAATTCAGATAATAGCTCAATCAATGCCCAGCAGTAGGCAAATAGGTACTTATAATAAACCCATCTAATGGAATATTGGGCAGGCATTAAAAATATCTTGAAGGACTGTCGAAAGCTTAATGATATGAAATTAAATGAAAAACCAAGCTTGCTAAGTTACATAAATGGTATTTCTCAACATGTCTAAGTAGTACAGCTATCCAGACGGAAGAAAAGTCATTGTTGAATGGTGGAAATAGAGTTTTTATTCTTTTATCTATTCTTATTTTTCAGGTTTTCCATACTAATCCCATATTACTTTAATATTTGGGGTGGGGGAATACTTTGTAAAGCAGTTTGGGTGGTATTGTTCACATATTTGCTACAGAATCTCAAATCCAGCAGGTCTGGAATTGAATTCTTGTTTTCCTTTTCTGTTCCTCCTGCAGACTTGAAGTTCTTGGTTAAAGGCAGCTCTAGTCGCTCAGTTGTCTGGGCTAAAAATTTTAAAATTTCACTGAATCCTGTCTTTCTCTCACATCCTTGTCTCATCTACTGGCCAGTCCAGTAGGCTTTCCTTTCAGAATATATCCAGCATGTGACCAGCATGTTGCCATATCCTCTGCTATTCAGCCGGGTCCAGGCCTCCACCCTTTTTGCTAGAATTGTGACAGTAGCTTTCCCAGTGTCTGCTCTTGCCTTCTTTTTGTTTGTTTGCCCTTCCCTCCTTTTCGTCACTTTTCCACACAGCCAAAGCTGTTAAAATATAACTCACATCATTCACAGTTTAGAGCCCCCCGATGGCTCCTAAGTAAAAGACCTCAATTCCTGTCTTCATGTCACCTCTGTGGCCTCACTACCTGCTTTGGCAAATCACGCTCCTCTCCCGTTGTTTCTCTACTTCCTTGGGGGAATTTGTTAGGAAAGTAGCATTCATCCTCGATTTGAAAGCATATTTTTTTTAAAAAAAGATTTATTTGAGCATACAGAACTGGGGTATAGTCCAGAGGCTCAGGAGTGGCGAGAGGCTTCACCAGAGACAGAGTGGGGAGCAGAACAGGCAGATCAACGAACTACACTGCTGAGGGGAGCAGCGGGCGGGTCAGGAGAGGTCTGCCACGCCATGTGGTCACCTCCGGGGCAGGCGGGAATCGAACTCATGCGGAGGTGGCTTTTAGCTTCATAGTGTGGTGCTTTAACCCGCTGCGCCAACAGGGAGGGCCTGCAAGCATATTTTGTTATTTGTTTTCAAAATTCCTATGGCCAGCCCTCTTACTTCATTTCAGTCTTTCCTCAATACTATTTCCCCCCAACCCCTCCACCAACATACATAAACACACACACACACAAACACACAGACCCTATAATACTTCCTTCTTTGCTTTAGTTTTCTCTGTTTAGCACTTATTTCCATCTAAAATATTATATACATGCTGGTTATATATATATTGCATTTTTCCCCAGTTCCATGTAAGTCTTATTAAGGCAGGGCTTTTTGCTTTAAAATTGAACAGCTGCATCCCAGATAGTAGTACATGGCACTAGTAGTAATTGCTCAGTAACTACTTTGGGAACCCACCACTGATAAGGAGAAATGATGTATTACTGATGTGTGATAATTATCCAGGACTCTTTTCTGAAACACTTTCCCCTCTCAATTTACCAACCTTGATTAACCTGTTGCTGTTACTATGTTTCTTCTGGCTAGCTTCTTGCTTTCATCTATATCAACTTTTCTAGATAAATTGAAGTATCCATTTTTTTTCCCTAATATTAAGTTCCATCTTAGGCTCTTAATAGCTTTTTTTTTTTTTTTTTTCATTTGCTCCATCATTTATTGAGCTACTCTAGTATTCCAGAGACTTCTAGAGAGTGGAGTTAGAATGAAGAAGACAGACATTGACTCTGCTCTTACATAACTTACTGTCTAGCAGACAGGCATAATTTAGCATTAAATTCAGGTACCATACAATTAGGGAAATTAGGAGAGATCCAGTAGGACAAGGGCCAGTGACCAATAAGCACACTACAAATCTAGGATCAAGTATCTGGTTACGTAATGTGGCACCTCACAGAAGGCAAGTAAGAAAGATGTCTATTCAGCGTTGCCCATTACTCCCTGATCACTGTTTTAAAAGGTAGGGTGACTCCTTTCATTTAGCAAGTAAGTGGCAAAGGATAGTATTGGGTTTGCTTGGAAGGAAAGAATGTATGGAATAATAGAAATAGTAGTGAGTCTACACCTAAATTTATATCTACCACTGCAGCTTGAATCTATTGCCTGCAGGTCCTAAAATGTGTTGTTTGCTTCATGAGTTTTTGTTTTCTTTTCTTTTTTAGGGAAGATGGTAGATAAGCTCGAAAGATTCTGTGTATGCCTCCCCTGTGTTGGTTTTTTTTTTATGACTATATATGTATATTTATATCTTTGTTCATTTTATACATTTTTTTCTTCACACTTGTATCCCCCATGGACTTCCCACCATCACTTCACCCATGTGCCATCACCATAGTCCCATATGCTTTTCCCACCCCAGTTTTACCCACTTTTACTTCTATTCCTCTCTCCTCCCCTGTAGAATGTCTCTGGTTTATAGATGACTTTCCTTTTCACTTTTTTTTTTTTAAGATTTATTTATGCATACAGAACTGGGGTACAGGCCAGAGGTGCAGGGGCGGTGAGAGGACTCACCAGAGACAGAGTGGGGAGCAGAACAGGCTGACTGATGAAGTACACTGCTGAGGGGAGCAGCAGAAAGGTCAAGAGAGTTCTGCTATGCCTTGCAGATCACCTCCAGGGCAAGGGATGGAGCTCTCGCTGAAGTGGCTGCAGCTAGCTTGCAGTGCAGCACCTTAACCTGCTGTGCCACCAGGGAGGTCCTTGTTTTCACTTTTTACAACTACATTTCTTTTTAAGGAGGCTTTTCCTAATTCATCTAGAATAAACATACAGTTAACTTGATGGCACAGGACATTATTTAAATGTCTCTTATAGTTGAGAGTCTGAGACTAAATGGTTCTGAATCTTGTCATTTGTTGAATTTTTCATTTTTTTAATCAGTTGCTGTATAGCAGTTCGTACATATAATGAAAAAATACAGAATTGGTGACTGTATGTATTCAGTTTGCATTTTTGAAGCCATTGTCCTTATTAAAGAGACCAAATATTCCATATTTCATTTGAAGTTACAGTTTTGAATGAAAAGTCATCACTTAGAGTGGAAAACAAGTGACCATCTATTTCATTATAAAACAAAACAAAGGGATAGAAATTAAAATTATTTCTTAACCATCTATATCCACATTTTTAATGAAAATATTCCTCTAAATTGACAAGCTATGACAGCTGCTGTAGGATTGGTATCTGTATTTCAGATATTCTTACTCTGCATGAATAATACCTGAATGTACTGGTTTTCTTAGGGGAGCTTGTATGGATGGGTGGATATTACTAATTTACATGTTTCTCTTCCTGTTTTTCAGCCTTTGCAACTAGACTGTGACCTTTGTGCCATAGTGTCAAACTCAGGTCAAATGATTGGCCAGAAAGTTGGGAATGAGATCGATCAGTACTCCTGCATTTGGAGAATGAACAATGCTCCCACCAAGGGCTATGAAGAAGATGTTGGCCACATGACAATGATTCGAGTTGTGTCCCATACCAGTGTACCTCTTTTGCTCAAAAACCCTGATTATTTTTTCAAGGAGGCAAACACTACTGTTTATGTTATTTGGGGCCCTTTTCGCAATATGAGGAAAGATGGCAATGGCATTGTTTACAACATGCTGAAAAAGACTGTTGACATCTACCCAAACGCCCACATCTATGTGACCACAGAGAAGCGCATGAGTTACTGTGATGGAGTTTTTAAGAAGGAAACTGGGAAAGACAGGTGAGTCCTCTGAGAAGCAACCTCATTGTCTTTTATTGCAACTCTTCTCTGAGTCTTTTTACCTGCTATCAAATGAATAGAATTATTGTTTAAGCCAATTGTAATGTTTCTGACTATTGTGATTACTGGGTGAACCAGCAGCCAGACCCTTTTAATCCACTTGTTCTGCCTCTGTTCTCTTTTTGATTGGCTTGAGGCACCAGTAATACTGGTGCATCTCCAAGATATCTTTAGATTTGTTCTTAATTTAGCTTAATTTGATCATTATTAAAATGTATTTTCTTTGAAAGAGGAAATCCACATATTTCTCTTTCAAGACAGAAATGATAAGAAACTTTGGGACATAAACTTCTTTGGAAGTCTGGCAAAATCTACCTGAGACCACCAACAGAATAGGCTATTAATCCTCTCATAAGAGTGCATAGTTTTTTGCATGCAAATGGACCCTGTGATCATGAAGGCCATAATTTAGTAACTAACACAGATTGTGCTAGTTAGAATCATTACAGTGAATTCAACAGAAGTGAGTTATAATAATCATCAGTTATTTACAATCAATTTATTTTTTTTGTTACATCTTACTCTTTCCCTGGAATTCTGTAAACCACCCTTCCTACTTCCTTTTCAGGAAGCCTACTCACGTCAGTCTTCCCCTTTCTTCTCCTGCTTCCTCTCTGCTCCCTCCTTTCCACCATATCCCCTGTGCAACATTAATGCCCACCATTTTGTCTTTTTAAAAATGTAACCAGTTTGTGGGAAAGAACAGGAATTATATATCAGTTGACCTTAGCTCATGTATCTAGTTCTTGTAATGAAATACTGAGAAAAATACTAAAATGTTAGTATTTCATAATTACCTATTTGCTTATTTGTGTAATATTATAGATCAATTTAACTTTGCTATAATTAACATTTTGATTTTGGGAAAATAGTTTTACTATACAATATTATCGAATCTAAAATTTCAACTACACTAGTGTATGCACTTTAGGGGAGGTTTCTGATGTATAAATATAATTTGAATGCTGAAAAATATTTTATAATATCTAGATCAACTTTCCTACTAATAATGCAAATTGAATTTAATAGTATATATTTCCTAGCATCAAAAATGCATATCTTCTAATGAAACACAAGACAGAAATAGCCATAATACTGGCCTCCTTCCACTGTTAGTGTTAGCAACAAGATTCTAAGTGATTAGATTTCAGTCAGTGTAGCATAAATTGCCCAAAGAGACAGGTAGTAGAGATAAAGGGTTAGGTTGCACTTCTAAGAAATAGTCTCACATACTGCACCATTCTATATGAATATGACAGTTCTCAAGAGGCTTTGGAAAGTTCTGGTCTCTCACTAGCCCAGAGAAGTGAAATTAATTAGATATATTTGGATATCCATTAATCATATTTAGCCCTCGGGATATGTCCTAATCAGAATCATTTGGAGGTATCAGAGAAGCGCTTAGCATGCCTGTATTCCTGTGTGTTTATATAAAATTGCTTTTGCTGTGAATTTTCAGTGAGAAGCACTGTCATGGTTCTTATGGATTGCTCAATAAGAACAGGTAGAGAATAGCTTTGAGAGGTTAATTTACGTACTGGTTGTGATGATGAAAGCTGTTTGTATAGTAGGGGGAAAGCTCACTTGGTAAAATTAACTAGCAGGTGTGATCCACTTGGTAGATTTACTGAAATAACAGTAGGAAAAAGTCAAAATCATTTTCTGATTTTTTTTCCACTTAATCTATTCCTATCTGATTGCTTTATTGACTACTGCAACCAGATTGTTTCTCTGAGTACCACAACCAAACCAAAGAAGACAACTAAATGAACAGAACAAATGGTTTTGGTAAAATTTTTGGATGACAAAAGGTTGGTCAAAGTGACCTCGAAGGATGCTATCTCCACTATTATTTAAATCTATAATTTAACTTTAGCAGTGCAGATTTTATTGACATAGAATTTTCCATGATGACCTGAAATTCATTGTCAAATTTCAAGCAAGAATGTATTTTAATACTTTATGCAAAAAATATCAAAGTTGTAAAGTAGAGTTACTAATGGTGTAGTGAGCCTCTGTATTCTATCTGCTCAGTTTGAATAATTATGAACTCCTGGCCAATCTTGTTTCACCTGTACTTCATATACTTTCTCACTCCCCAAGGATTATTTTTAAACAAATCCCAAAAATCCTATTATTTTCTTCATAAATATTTCAGCATATATCTCTAAAAGATACAGATTCTTAAAAATAAACATAATGTCTTTGTCCTACATAAAAAATCAGCAGCACTTCCTTAATAAATCTTTTTCATTTAGTCTATTTTCAAATTTCTCCAATGGTCTCATTATAATTTTTAATGTTAATTTAAACCTAATTAGCAGAGTTCATACATTGTTCCAGTCAGGATCAGCATAAGATATATGCATTGCAACCGATTGGTGTTTGTTTTTCTGAACTAAACTTCTCCCTTATTACTGGAAAAAAAAAAAAAAAGCTATTCTTCCTATAGCCTGCAGTCTTGATTTTGTGCCTCCCTGATACTTCTTTTACATTGGCATTTCTGTATTGAGGATTTGTTGAAAACAGTTTTAATTATATTTTGCCGAGACCTTTAGGTGGTACTTCTATCAGGAAAAGTACTGTCTACTTTTCTTACATTTGTGTTAACAGTTATTAATGATTATCCAGATCCAATAATTCATAAGAGGTTCCAAAGTGATGAAGAGGTTCCAAAGTGATGATATTTCATCATTTCCTCTTCATTTGCTCCCTGATACACTATAAAAGAGCAATTTGCCCTCATTAACTCTGTGGTTACTATGAAATAGAAGATAGTACCATTTCTCTTTTGTTATCAATTTAAAGACATTAGCTCCTTAGCATCCTTCAAAATTACCTGTAGGCTTATTGTTATTATCAATATTTACATATTTATATATATGTGAACTTTTGAGATATTTCAGTTCATTAATATTACATATTTATGTTCAGGTGGTCCTATTTCTGGCTATGGGGATATGTCATTAGTTTACATGGATAGTTTCTTTGCTTGTTTAAGGTTCTTCTTGTACATGTCCTGATAAAACCAGATACTACATTTCTTTAAAGAACTTTATAGTTCTTTTGGCATTTAAGAGACAAGATCTTGGGCTTACAGGTACTTATTGCTACTCAATTGATCTTTGTGTTTTGGCCTTTTCATTGGGCAGAACTAGCACATAAACAATATACAGTGGATATATTGTTCAAAGATAAAATCATTATGAATTCAAACTGAAACTTCCAATTGAAACTCAGGGATTGCAGGTTTTTTTTCCCCCTCGTCTATCTTACATGTTTCTTCTTTCTATCATGCTGACAGTAACAGATTCCATAGACACCAGTGTAATTATTCATCTGCTTTATTCCACAACATATACACAGCAGTCTTAGACTAAGAATAACAGCGCAACCAGTAATATAATTACTGTAAATATTATAAGATTGTTTTGCCTCGGAGAAGATGCTTTAAGGTCCATCTACATAGATCCATGCTCACAAAGTATGTGTTGATTATTTTCTAATAAATGTTTAAAATATTTTTTCCCTTAGTAAACAGGACTCAATTAAATGTTATAAATATTGTAGCATGGGGGATTAGGGGGAGGCGGATGTATTTTTAATTTGACTTTTGGTTGGTTTCTCAGCACTGACAGGAATTTTTTAGCAAGTGGTTATTTTGTTTTCAAGTTGTTTATTTTTATGGAAGTAACATTGCATTATGACATTTTATAAGTTTCAGTTGAGCATCATTATGAATCAACATCTGTATGTACTATATTAAATTTTTAATGCAAAGATGTGTCACCATTATAATGTGTAATTTATAGAGTTTTAAAAAATTATGTCCCTAGAATTTTATATGAATCATGATAGGAAAGATGATTAATGGACTTGCTCAAAGAAAATTTGCCCTTCTTTTTCAAATTACTAACGTTCTTTTTAAAACATTTAAACACCTCCCATTTAAGGTGAATACTTTTTTCTTTTTTTCCAATGGTTTTTATTTTTTGTGAGGGATTCCTTATTAAGGAAACATAAGTAGTAAAAGAAATATGTATACTGTTACATTTCTTAAAATGAATTTAGGCTACCTCATAAGCATATTGGCATACATTTTTCAAACCAAATGAAATTTAATTTGCTTTATTATCAGTGAAAATTATTTGACTTGTCACTTAGAAACTGTGACCTCGTGAGAAAGGCTGACAGAAGACAAAGGGAAGGCTGTTTGCTCTTTCTCACTTCATCTTCTGGAGCCCAGTGTTTTTGGAATTCTAGTCCTTGGGCTGTGGTTGCCGCTATATTTTGACTTATCAAATATTTTTCTGGAGAATTAGAATTGTGAGATTTACAGAAACTTTCACTCCTTCCAGGAAACTTTGGAATTAAAGGTTTTATATTCAAAATGATGTGGACCACATGGATCTTTTTTCCCTTTGAATGATTGGTATGCATAATAATAATACTAGCCTGCTGACATTTATACACATGCATTAATACATGTTAAGACTGAAATGCCCTAGAGGTGCTATAGAGCTGACATTAGCACATGGCAACACACTCAACATTTGCAGAATGTGATTATGTACCTGGCCATGTACAGATGCAAAAACAGCTTCGACTCCTGGAGAAGCAATAGAGAGCTGAAGTGAGATATTGTTACCTGTGGGCAAGTGGGTAGTTGCAGCTTGCTTCCCACTGTAGAAATACATTGGTAAATGCAGGCACATTATTTAATTAAGTAATAATTGAGAAAGCTATAGTTCCCATTAAAAGTACAAAGCTAATTCAGGGCTGATAAAGAGCCCTGAGCTGCCCTAAATAAGTCTTAATTAGCTGGCACCTATGTGGCTCCGCCTTCAGGGATGGATGAAATTAATGAAAGCTAGCAGCAAATAGATCAGTGTTTCAAGACATTACCCCCTCAGGTGCAGAGGATAAGAAGGGAGAGGGTT